GTAGACATACTGATACTGAGCGAGCAACTGTGGGACTTACGAGAACAGGACGGCTGGTTCTCGAATACCCTCGGTACGTCGGCCATATGGGTCAAAGGCAAACCGGCTAGGAGAATACAAGCGTCTGGCAGGGGGGAAGATTACGCGTGGGTGAGGGTAGATTCCGTCACCTACGTTAGCGTATATTTGACCCCAAACTGCACGATGGCAGTGTACGAGGAAAAAGTCGGTAAGCTGGAAGACGCCCTCACAGGTCTCCCGGGTGACTTTGTCGTCGCGGGAGACATGAACGCGAGAGCGGTCGAGTGGGGTATGACAACGACGGACAAACGAGGAAGGCTGCTTCTGGAAATGGCCGCAAGGCTTGATCTGGTAGTGGTCAACCAAGGGACGACAACGACCTATAGACGACCGGGCTTCGGATACTCAATACCCGATGTGACGATGACGTCAGACAGGATCTCGTCGCGGATAAGAGGATGGCGGGTGACCGAGGACTATACAGCCAGCGATCATCAGCACATCGTCTTTGAGGTGACAAATCAATCGACGAACATACGAAACGGACAAACTAGAGACAGGACTTCAACGTATTGGAACTTACGACGACAAGATAGAGAGCTGTTTGACAAACTGCTAAGGGAGGCACCGTTACCCGCCGAGTCTGTCCCGGCAGAGCTTGGTCTGCGGGAGCGTGCCGAATGGATAACGGACAAGACAATGGAACTGATAACGGAACTGTGCGACGCCACGATGACTCGACGCAAGGGCCGAACGCACAAACGAGCAATGTACTGGTGGACGGACGAGATTGGCCTCCTCCGTGGGGAATGCATTGCCTGCCGCCGGAGGATGAACCGCGCACGGAAAAAGAGCAGACCAGACGTGGACGAACTATCGACAGCGTACAAGATGGCACGTAAGAGACTGACTACTAAAATAAAGGACAGTAAAAACTGATGCGCTAGACAGTTGTGTGAAGAAGTGGAGCGGGACCCCTGGGGACTTGGCTACAAGATTGTGACCAAGAAATTGGGGGCCCTTGGCCCTTCTGAACCAAAAGACAAAGACACCATGAAAGCAATAGTAGATGGACTTTTCCCAAACCAACCAGAGACGGAAGAAATGACGAACGAACAAGAGACGACAGTGCCAGAGTTTGTCGGGGCAGAGCTTATTAAGGCTGTGTCCACGATCAAGCCTGGTAAGGCACCCGGACCAGACGGTATACCGGGAGAGATCCTCCAGCAGATCGTGGGCGTACGTCCAGGACTCCTCCTGGATAAGTATAACGCGGTCTTACGTGCGGGCATCTTTCCCAGACGATGGAAGACTGCTAGACTGGTTCTCCTGCATAAAGGAAAAGGAGAGACACAGCGGGTAAACTTTACGAAGCGTTATTGAAACCAAGACTGACGAACGCGGTAACTGCAAACGGAGGACTTGCAGGAAACCAGTACGGATTCAGACGGGGCTGCTCAACTATAGGGGCGATTCGACAAGTGACCGACGCCTTTCGGCGGACGAGGCTCGTGTGCTACGGAGCGAGGCCAATAGTACTTCTCGCGACTCTTGATGTCAGGAATGCCTTCAACTCCGCTCGGTGGGGGGATATTCTGGAGGCCCTACAAACTTTCAGGGTTCCCGAATACCTGATGCCGGTGATGAGGGAGTACCTACACGACAGATGGATTCGATACGAGACGAAAGACAGAACAGTGACCAGACGAATCACAGCAGGAGTCGCCCAAGGCTCAATCCTTGGACCCGACTTCTGGAACATACTGTACGACGCACTACTAAGACTACCGATGCCACCGGGGGTGGAGCTGGTTGCCTACGCCGATGATGTGGCTGTGGTGATAATAGCCCGTACCCCGGAGCTGGCGCAAATGCTTCTGAACCGCGCGATGTTACGAATCAATAGATGGATGACTGAACGCGGACTTAGCCTTGCCCTGGCCAAGACAGAACTCATCCTTCTGACGGGAAGCAGGATTAATACCCTGATTCCCATGACAGTCGGAGAGGTATCGCTGCGGACCAGTAGGGCGGTCGAGTATCTGGGGGTGACCCTAGATACGAAGATGACCTTCTGGCCGCACATACAACAGACAGCGAGGAAGGCGGCAGAGAGGACTTCCGCTCTCAGTCGTCTTATGGCAAATACATTTGGACCGAGACAATGGAAGAGACAACTACTGATGACAACGACCCACTCGATCATGCTCTACGGGGCGGAGGTGTGGGCCGACGCGTTGGGGGTCAAGAAATACTGCAAACGACTGACAAACGTACAAAGACAGGGAGCACTGAGGATAGCCTGCGCCTACAGGACAGTCTCGGCTGAGGCAGTCAGTCAAGAGCAGCTAGTGATCGCGTGCGCATCTCTCACTTGCGCCTCGCGGACGGAGTCTTTGTTCGCCATGTCCGTTAGCAACAACGAAAGTAACAGTCAACAACTTTAACAGCAGCAACAATTTACAATGGATTAGTGACCAGTTAAACAAACAAGAAGCTCACGCTTCTCAACTAACGAGAAACCCATGTTTCTCAACCAATCAACAGAAGCCCATGCTTCTCAACGAATCAACAAACTATTGTCATTGGTCTCCTCATCGCCAATATAACTTGTTCGGCTTCACCGGGTCGAACATCAGCTAGATCATCGTTACCTGGATAGCAGAATCAATTGTGTGAAAGTGTGTGTGTGCGCATAAGAGCTCTCGGTTCGCGTACGGCCACGTGGTCGGTGAATTTCTCTTCGCGCATTCTTTCTCTTGTTTTAACAAATACCGGCGTGCGTACGAGTCACTTTGTGCGGCGTTACTCGCTTTTTAATCTCCTTGTAATTTAATCTTGTATTCAATCCTTTCATTATCACTATTATTCGATTGTCTCAGTAGAAGAGTCTAATTTTATGACCATATAAGGAGCGTGATGTCACAGATTGATAGATATAGATATAATGATTTTTGTTATTTGAATAAAATATGTTAATTAGACGTGATTTTGATATAACAAAGCATTTCTTATATAGATTTTAGTACAGAGATTTAGAATATAATATTACGAATAGTGTTTACTTATTAAATAATAAGGAATTTTAATATGCAAAGCTAATTTATTTATTACACTATAAATATTAATTATTAAAAAAATATAAATATTTCATATTCAAAATGAATATTTGAAGAACGTGAGTAAGAATTGGCTTCATCAATAACAGTTAAATAATAACTGTTATTAATAAATAAATAATTAACAATTTATTCAAACAGTAAGTTATATATTGAACGAAAGCGTTAATTTTGTACGTAATAATGATAGCTTTGTAATTTATAAATCTTAGATAATTAATCTAGTAATTACGTTATAAGATTATAGAAAAAACCGTTACAAATATGAAAATTTGTAATAATTCAATTGTTATTAACTAATTTAAATATTTCTTTTAGGAAATTTATAAACGATAAAGTTATATAAAAATTTAATATTATTCTATTGTAAATATTGTAATATTACATTAATTAACTTTATTAGTTAATAACTTTTGACGATACTATTTGTGATAATTGTAAATTATATTAAATCGACCAATAATTAATTTTGTAAAGTTTACATGTGTTGAAAGTTTAGTATTGATGTTTTTTTACTTGTAAATTAAGATAATTCATTTCTTAAAATTCACGAATATTTCTGGAAGATTCGAAAACTTCTCGAAGAGAACTCTCCTGCGAAAATAGACCGGAAAATTTGTGTATAAATACGCCCATTATTGCACAGGCTGGTATTCACTCCTAACCTTACAAAGTGAGCGCATGAGATTGAATAAACTTGGCTAATACCTAAGTTCTTTCTCTCATTGAGATTAACTGAGCAAGACTTTCCCTTTCCAATAATTCGCTCAACTTATAGAACATCTGGCGCTATAAGAAACTTGGGCCGAATTATATCCTCTAAAAGGAAGGGGACAATTCGCATCATAAGAAACTAGGGCATAGTCTGACGTAGTCTGACTTGAAATTTATCTTACTGTAGGTAGAGATCTAAATTGTTACGTCTTCTTCTACTACTATTACTACTACTGCAGCTGTCACTACTGCTGCTGCTGCTACTGTTGCTGCTGCTGCTGCTATAACAGCTACTATTCGATTCTTGAGACAGATGAAGCTCTTCGAGGCTTACAGCTCTTTTAAATCCTCTTCCCACTATTTATGTTTTCGAGCCGCCACAACTGCCTCCCTATGCTTTAAATTAGTTTTCCATTTTATTTAACATATATATAGTGTAATGATTGTCTAATATAGGACCAAACATTTGATTCATCATTAATATACGTTTCTTAAATAATACTCGTGATATAACTTTATTCAGTTCAGCAATACGTCCTCGGAAACGTTCTCGATCTCGTGCTATCTGCTCCCAAATACCTTTTCTAGAGTCTTTTTCTTCCATACGAATTTAATTAATTTAACTGCATGGTATAAAACTATATGAAAATTCAAAATATATTTTTTAATAATAAATCTTGTAAGTGATAAAAATATTCGAGAAATTTCTTCTGAATAAGAGATTATGTTAGGAACTAGTAAAGATCTCAGAAAAATTAAAAGTATTTCAATTAAAATTATAGTAGTGAAGAAAATTTAGGTCATTTATAATAAATGTAGTGTGAGAATATTTGAAAATATAAGAATGCTAAAGTGCGATTTTATGTATGAATAATGGTAAGTATAATGCGAGGAACTAAATGTTAAATCGTCAGTTAGATCTATTCTTTCTTTCTATCTCAAATAGTAAAACTTTAATAATATCATTGCGTAACAATTAAAATAATATCAATCTTTTCTATTTATGTAACTTTTAGTTATTCAGTCATACTATCTATATATTTAATTCAATTTATTAAGAAATAATAAAAATCTAAGCGTTGAAAATATATACATCTATTAATTTATTGCATTTACTGCTAGCTAAAAAAGAACTAATGTTTTTAGGTACATAAAAAAGCAAATTTTAGACCATGGAACAACTGGTCGAATCGCTTTTGATGATAATGGAGATCGTATATTTGCTGAATATGATGTAATGAATACAGAATCTTTTGGAGTTGTGAAATCAGTTGGACGATATTACTATGCAGAGGTCAGTGAATAATGAATAAATTTATATAAAAATGTTGAAAATATAGTACTAACTATCTATCTAGTAGAATTAAATTCTATATCAATCGAGTAATGGATTAGTACAGGAACTAAGTTAAATTTTATTTTAAGTTACTAAAATAAGTATATATTTTTTTCATCAACTTGTAGTATAGTATTGACATACTTGATACGCATCCTGAAGATGCGGGATATAGATTATATTTGCTTTGTTAAAACTGTGTAAGCGCATAGTAAAAAATAGGAAAGTGGAACAAGCTGCTACGGACTCACTCTTAGTAGAAATGGTAACATTAATAGCCAAAAATATTTATAAGAATGTGATGAGCGACAACGCTTCTGTTATACCATGTATTCGGTATCTGATTCAAAGTAGAAAAAAATACAGATAATATAGCTCTTTTCTAAATGGAGCTAGAAAAGACTGTAAAATAGTCTCTTACTTAGCCCTTTTCCGAAAATTAAGGTCATAAAACATTTCGATGGATAGAACCACAATCAATCAATAGAAAAGGTTGTCGTTCAATCTAGAAGGCACATATAAGTAAAAAATAGCACAAGGAAAAGGTTGACCCAGGTAAAACTCGTAGGAACAAGAATCTCACTACACAGCCAAGGTGATAACGACTGGAAAATAGTAAGAAATCAGAAAAAAGAAGAAGGAAAAGAAAAAGGCAGAAACTAAAGGTAAAATGGCATCGATAAAGTATAGAAAAAAACTCAGAAGTACTAGTTCAGCGGTGTTGATATAAGTGAGCGACAGAATAAAATATCCTACTCTGAAATACTAAAGGAAGTGAAGCAGAAGGTTAGCATGAAACAGGATATATCAAGAGTTGGCAAAATGCGAGAGACAATAAACGGGAATCTATTGCTGGAATTAGTCAATGTAATCAAACTAGAGGACGTCAGCATAACGATGAATTCAGCGATAGGTAATCAGCTAAGTGCGAGACCACTAGTTCCGAGAGTGATTATAGAATTTCGAAACCTTATTCTTAGATTTCTGTCACGTAGAACATTCAAACTTGAATGAGTTAACGCACATATACACTAAAAGAAGACAGTAACCTGATGTTACAAGTGCCTGGAATATAGACATATCGTGCGAGAGTGTTATTAAAAGAGCATCCAGGAGAAGATCCGCTGCAGATGTGGAGATACAGGATATCTAGCGGCAGAAAAAAAAGCGATATAAATGCCTATCTTACGAAGCGGCAGATAAATCGTATGAATACAAATGAGGAGACGCTATGTGCACCGTAGACCGGATAGCTATGAGAAAGCTTAACCGTAAAAACGGATATGGTAACCTCTCTAGCATCAACATATTGCAAGCTCGTATACTTCAACCTTAATAGGACCAAGTTAATACAGGGTATTCCTATCCAGAGAGACCAAGGCAGTACAAGGTATTTCTATCCGAACCACGAGAGATAGAGCAGCAGACATAGTTTTTATTTGAAAGCAAAACCAAGATCTTCAAAACAAGATGTAATTTTGAGAAGATGCGATAATCAATGCCGAAAAGAACATGTGTTATAATGTAACATACCTGACATCAGGAAATGGATTTATAGATGGTAAGTATATACTCGTATGGTATAGATGGTAGATTTATACAGTGGTAGTAGAGACTCGGTTAGAGAATGGAGTACACCGGGAGTATGGTGAGCACATCAGTTATAGATGATCGGAGCGGAAGTCAACACGTAGGGCCTAGGAATTCCAGTTACCTAGTATGCAATAAAGTGGCTTCTTGCAATCCTTTGCCACAACTACTACTACGCAACGAAAAATCAAGAATTATAGTAGCACAAACTAATATTCAAACAAGGAATCAAAGGATAGCGAGCCAGTGTTCGCCGTATAGCCTCTTGCAGTGAAGGTAAGTCAGTTACAGTCGGAAAGCTTGACAGAGACAGAGATCACAGCGATGAGGGTTTCGTGAGGCGAGGGTCGTGCAGGGTACGATAAGTTGCCCCAACCATCCATACACCAGTTCATGGTCGTGGACACTGTAGAGAATCGACTATTACTTATAAGAATTGTGGAAAAATCGTATAACGCGCTGTTTGATACGGTTGCACAGGTTACAGGTCGTACAGATCACGAAGGAGTTTCGGGAGAGTTTTATTGAATCGGCGACTTAGATGCATGGTTTCTCAGGGATGTCGGTGGAGATTGTAGGTATACTTAGGATGATAATAGCGATATGGCATGGAGCATGCTGTAGTACGCCGTGACTATCAGCGTAAATATTATCTCTACATTCAATTTAAAAATCGTTCTCGGTACTAGGAGCTATTAAGTCGATGGGGGAACAGACTGATATATATTTGTGCAGAAGACACAGGCTGGAGTTTTCATTCTATTTAAGTTGGACAAGAAGCTTATGTACGTGAGAGCCGAGAGATCGAGTTTATCAACGCTACAACAATCGAAATACAAGAAGATGAGCCAGCTTGTGAAGAAAGTCGTCTCGAGAGCTTTGAAAGGGAAAGCAAATTTGGTTGAGAATATCATCAATGTATAGAGTGCATATCCGATGAAGACTCACATGTACAAATATTTACCGCAAATGCTACAATTTATTCGTTTATCGGACAGAGTGTGCCGACTGGTATACAAAAGATCTCATCTGGCCCTTACAATATTAGTGGTGCAGTGCCCTGTAGTCGTCAAAAAAACAGGATAGAACGAATTGACTAGGTATCAATTTGTAGCCCGGAAACAAGATCTGTAGCATCAATGCATATCAAACATCCAGAGTAAATATTACCGAACAGAAAATATACTTGAAAAGCGCACATTTTTAAATATCTTTATCGAAAGAAGCATGTAGTATATGGCATTCAGCACTTTTGAATACGATTTCTGAGAATGTATGTACACGACCTATCGACTAGTCAATGCGTTTGCGACGATCGTGGATGCGTTTTTCAACTTGATCTATAGCTCTTAAGTCTTCAAGTATTTAAACGACATGCTTGTGATGACAGAGACCTTCGAGGAGCATTTCATTTGATTAGAGAAGGTATTAGCACGAATCAAAGGCGCAGGTCTGGAGAACAATGTGAAAAATTGATTTTCCTTTGCTATTGTTTAGATACTGACACACTACGCCCAAGCCTCAAAAAAGTAAAGCGGATACTGGATTATTCTGTGCCATGAAACATTAAGCAGCTGAGATATCTCATGGCAATGACAGAGTAGTATTCTCGATTCATAGATCATGACAGTGAGATTAAGGTGCCGTTAATGCTGTTATTTCATAAGTAGGTACGATTTCGAACATTAAACGGCTTTCGATTTTGTTTATTGTTCTATTATGGAAGTCCTGGTGTTATCTAGGTCTGGAATCAGCAAGCCCTTCGAGGTCCATTGTAATGAATCGCCCTATGTGTTGGGCCTGTATTTAATGCAGAAAGACGACGGTGGCTATGATCACGCGACTTTCTATGCGAGCTAACTACTCAATATTTACAAAAAGAACTACAGGGTATCTGAATTGGAGTTCCTCACTTTACTTTCAGTAATTTAAAAATTCAGAACATATATTGAGGGCACGCAATTTACTTCACTAACCGATCATACGGCTCTGTCATCGCTGCAAAGCACGAAGAATCCAATTATGCTGCCCATCAGTTGCATTTCAATTAAATTCAATTATATTTATGTATACATAATGCTCTACGTTAATTCATCTAATTAGTATTTGTACTCTATATTTCATATTGTATGTATACGTCAATAGTATCCACACACGAGAGATCTCAAATAAGAGGAAGATCTCTCCTCTAAACACGGTCTTTCATTCTTTATTTAATGCTCTCTTTACTTCGGGTACTCTATCGTAAAGAAGGAACTCGTTTTTTTGCCGATTTCGCCGTGCTCGCGAAAGATCGCGAGCAGTTCGCCGACGCGTCGTGCACTCGCGAATAGAGAGAGAGAGAGAGAAAGAGAGAGATACGACCTGACCTGATGAAGGCTGCTGTCAGGATTCGCTGCTAGTGCTGCTGGCAGGAAACGCTGCTGGAGCTGCTTGCAGGAAATGCTACTAATGCTGCTGTTGGCAGGAAATGCTGCAGGAACTGCTGGCAGGCTTGTGGCAGGCTCAAATGTGGATTCCACAATGCCTCAGGTGTCGTTAGAAATCCTCCCCGGGCTGTACTCTGCTCGGCGTCGTCTAGCTTCTTTGTCTCGACTTGACTATTCAATTTTATCTCGCGTGCGCACGCTCGGCCGTCAAATTGATCCATCTATCTCAAGATTTCGGCTCGAACTCTCTCCCCAACCGTTCGCGCGCCGGCTCGAGCAACGCCGGTGGCTTCGCTCTCGCGAGCGAATCGCCATGGGTCGCTCGCGCTCGCTTACTTTCTACTGACGATGCGTCAATATCTCTCTCTTATTCTTGCCGCAGCTGCTCTCGCTCCTAATTAGCTCCCAATGACGATGCCCTGCTCAGGTATTGGCCCTGAAATAAAGCGGTGCGAGCATCGGTATCGGTTCGTTATTTTCAAACGCTCACCAGGGCATTGTCACAATGTTATATATATATATTGAATATTTGAACATTTAACTGGGGACAGTCTATTGGGTGACATATGTATTTATTTATTTATATGTACAGATGAATTGCAAACGAGAACCCAGAAAAGATTATACATACGTCCGTCCACATAAATTATTTAAAAGGGATACTCTATCTGAACAATTTATGACACCGACCGTAATTAGGGCAGGTAGCCGGCTAACTGCACTCTGCATTGCTGACCGATTAAACCGTATTAACTGCTGATCGAATAGCTACCGTCTGTACTTCCAGTCGACTGGAAACCTTCTTGACTGCTGATCGACTCACTACCGTCTGTCGTTTGTTCACTTCCGCAATTGACAGCTTCTTCCTCGTTCTTTCTCTCCCCACTTGACCTACTTATTAGAGTAATAAGTAGGCGTGCGGCCAATGCGCTAATTGGT